AATAAGGGACGGACCATTTGATTTTTCATGGGGGGGGGGTGCGCATTTTTGAGAGTGCTCGATTTTTTTTTGGACCTCACTGACTCCGCACGATTTTTTTTTATCGAATCTTGCCGCGTGCACGATATTTTTTTAAATTTTTACTATAGCGTTAATACAATAATAACCACGTATGGTTATATTCCGGTTGAAGAATGTATTTGAATATACAGCATATAACCACAAAATAGGAAAGTATAGCAGAAGTGTAACCTACGAAAATTTTAACTCGCTCACGCCATCCTGGCTAGTACAGCCGGAAGTTTTTATCAGGTTTTGATAGGTACAAAGTGCCGGTTGTACTAGCCAGGATGGCGTGATTGATGATCGGACGAATCGCTTGTAAAAACGCGGACAAATACTTGCTTGAGTGAGACTTCTGGTATGCCGTCCTATTCTATGATATAACTATCACAGCCCATTTTATACTTGGCCAATTTTATACTTGGCCCATTTTATACGGGGCTATAGTCTACGAAATGTAGACCATAGTCCCAATCAAAATTGGATCAAGTGTATTAAAGTGTGTAACCCATTTTGCATTTGCGTAATGGCATCTATATACAAATTCTCACGGTTCCCAATCGTATCAGTGTTCCCAATACGTATTATAAACTGCGATTTTTATTCAGAATCAGAGAGCGATATTAATGAGCCGGGTGGGAAAGGGTATTTTTGTGACCCATGAATGCAGTGGCGTAGCCAGACTATAATTTTTGGGAGGGCATATTTCCGGGGGAATTCCCCCCCGGGAAAATTTTGAAATCTGGAGTCCCTCAATGGCGATTTCCCGTGTTTCTGGGGAGAGATTTTGCATAATTCTGAAGATTATTTACTGCAGGAAAGACCTGATTTTTAATGATTTCTCAATAACGTGGATCCTTAATTTGACTCAACGAAGCTTACTTGGTCGCGTGTGAATAGTTAAATCGAAGTTTTAAAACGCATTTTAACCAATAACCACCATAGGCATTATTTTCTGTAGTTAGATTTAGGAAAGATTAGAACTTTTATAGACAATTTGGTGAACAGATGAGATTGGTAGTCACATGGGTAGTCATCGTCCCCCCCCCTAATTTCTACCCGGATTTCATCTTTTTACAAGGGCAGTCCATCAGCCTATTGGGGGGCTGAGCTCCCCCTTGTCTACACCACTGCGTCGGAATGGTCAATATTTGATCGTGTGAAATGCTTGATTTTACTGTCATGATCTGTGATTTGTTCTACAGCCGTGAGGCGTGATTGTCGATCAAAAAATGCTCCGTGAAATGGGAATTAAGGATGTCTGTTTCGTGAACTGTGATTTTGATTTGTTTATTCCAATCTATTTTATAATAGTGATAATGGACATAATACGCGATAATAATTTATATGATCGATCTCACTCGATTGCACAAGAGTAGAAACTTCGGAGGCCTTTCGGAGATCGTCAGACGTACTCATCACTCAAACTTGTAAGTAGTTTTTAACTGCCAGGCAGAGAAGAGACCATGCATTAAACATAATCTTAAAGCTATTATTATTATATTATTTATATGTGAAATGTGAAATTGCTTTTTTATGGCACGTGAATTGTGAAACGGTATTTTTTTGTTGTGAAACGTGAATCATACCCCCCCCCCCTTTCCCACCCTCATTAATCGATGTCGAATTTACAGAAGTGTGGGACTTTCAGTGTTAAGATTGGGGTTTTTAGGGATACCATTAAGGTAATTTGTGGATAATTGAATTATTGAAGTCAAAGTTGTCAGAACTGGTTTGTATCGGTTTGTATTTTGCATGTATACTTCCGGTATTGTTAACCAAGGCAGAACCAAAACACTCAACAGAAAAAAACTGAATTTTTCTTTCAATATAGAATATTGCTAATTTAGAATTTTTTTGTGCTCGATATTTTTTTTTGCTGGTATTAGTGATGTTCGATTTTTTTTTCTTCCATTCGAGACATGCTCGATATTTTTTTTCGGATTTGCGCCCCCCCCCCCCCCCATGAAAAATCAAATGGTCCGTCCCTTAGCTGTCCAACCTCCTCTGGCACTGAGTATATATCTTTTGAAAACAGGCGAGGGGTTATTGCATGCATGTATTTCTAGTAACTATAGTTATAGAAAGTTTCATTTTCACGACCCAAAAATGTTAAAACAAAGAAATTTCAAATTTCAAAGTGGAAGGACAAATGGAATTGGAAAGAGAGTAGAACCGATTTAAAAAATACGACCAGATTAAATTACTTCACAAAGTAGCCAATATATTTCGTGAGTAATCAAACTTATTTCAAAGGAAACATGCTTACATTAGTTTTTGCTGGGATTATAACTCTGCTTTGTATTTGGATTGCTTGGAAGCGTATTGTGTTCTGTCAAATGATGTCAGTAATTCCTGGTCCTAAGGCTTGGCCTATCATTGGGAATACATTTCAAATTAAGAGGGATCCACACGGTAGGCGATTCTTTAATAGATATAGTTTTACCTGGTATACAGTAGGACAAGAAACAGCTGGGTTTAAGTATACTTTGATTGTAGCTTTCTGCTATTATATTAAACGTACATCTAAATTCTTCTATGTACTGTAACTTGCTATACCGAATAATAGGCCATTGGCCTGTTGCCTTGCCCTTGACCTTGTTTACAGTTTAATATATATATATACAGTATGCAGGCAAATTATATATTTATATTCACTGGTCAGCACTCTCCCCTTGATGAGTAAAATCGTCTGTCGTTGGACAGAGTAAAATAAAAATGTAGGGTATTATTATTAAATTGCATTCCTCCCTTATAAAAATGAGCGCTAGGCCTCCTTCAATGGGAATTACTGTGAGGTATAGTTTTGCCGAGTCATCAGGTTGGTCTTTATTAGCCCATGTACACAAATATATTTACTAAACTTTGGTTAACATTGCATTATGCAGATTACATATACTACACAAAGTATTATAGGGGGGGG